TATATATATATATATATATATAAAGGGTGAGAAGGGAATTTTTTTTATATATTGCTTAAATATGTCCTTAATTAAAATGGTAAAATAGGTACATGTATATTAATGCTTATGATAATTTAACAGTTTTGCTAGAAAACATGCCTATTTTATATGCCAAAAGCATCTGTGAGTATTTTTCTATTTCTTCAGTGAATTCAGGGTTCTGAATTTATCACAAACTCATTCCATTTAAACCTTACTGATCTGAGTCAGTGTGTGTGGGACCGTCGCTTTTTTCAATATCATAGATCAGAAATTACCTTTCTGTAACGATAAAATGTTGGGATGTTTTTCATGAGCCACAGTGACAGTTTAATTAATTTTGACCATAAACTACGTGACAGGAATAATTAAATAACTAAACATACAAATATAATATAGTAACACAATGTAATTTATGAATTCAAGATTTAAATATAAATGTATACATCTAACATAGAATTTTCAGAAATTATTATTATTATTATTATTATTATTATTATTATTATTATTATTATTAATATTATTATTATTATTATTATTATTATTATTATTATAATATCCAAGTCAGTCTTATTTGCAGTAATCAACTGATATAATTTCAGTTAAATTTAATTTGAAATGTATTCAAACCAGGTTTCCTTTAAACGTACAGCACTTTATAAACTCTGTTATATATTTCATTCTGAAATTCTCTGCCAAACATCTATTTTTGACATTCCTTTGATGAATGCAACACCTCCAGGATCTCATGCAACAAAGCTGCTGTACAGCCTGAAGGAAACCTCAAACCCTGAGGAAAACACATTTTTCATCCCCTGAGGATCCTGTGTGTTCACTCACTTACAAACAAAACTTTATCATTTTTATAATATTTTTATTTTGAAAAAAAAGTCATAAAAAAAAACTATATAGAAGTCAGAACTTTGGTTGATTTTATGAATCAATAAATCAATTACAGATCATTCTGACCTGAAAAGTAAAACTGAAAGATTTAATTTTGTGAATCTTTTCAGTTTGAGCTGGTGGTGCTACAATGAAATTACACAGGGGGACCAACAACTTCGTCCAAGTCTCTATTTTATTTGAAGAACTGCAGATTCTAGATTTTTAAAAAAGAAAAGAAAAAGAAAACAAAAACATGTTTTAGAAAATTCAGTTTTTGCTCTTTGGAATTGACAGTTGTGAGGTGGAAGAACATATTTTTAAAAAGTCAACCTATTCTCTTAATTTTCTTAAAATTTAGCCAGATGTTTAAAAACAAAACAGATTAACTTTAAATAAATAAAAACCTAATAGTAAAAAAAATATATTTAAGTAGCAGAAATGTGACTTGCTTGATAAAGAATTTAGACAATAACTTCTAATTACCACTAGAGGGAGCTGTAACTTTGTTAACGGCAAGTAGAGTAAAGGTAAGAAGTAGGTCATCGTGTTCATATTTTCAGTGGAATTCTTTTGGTCTTTTTTATAGGTTTGTAAGAGCGTAAAAATAGTATAGACATAAAATCTACTCTTCTGTGTAATTATTCAGAGGTTAGACTGAGGTTAGAGCCTCGACTTTCAAATTCAGTTGTTTTCAAAGTCAGAACGTTTTCTAAAGCGGATTATGCTGCTAAGATCTTGAGATATATTAGAAATCTCACATGAAGTGATAATTTATAAGACCATGTGCACAAAAGTTTGCACAAATAATTTTTAAAATAAAACTTTAAGCCTTTACTGTAAGAAATAAAGTTCTCACCACACTTTTTTTTGTCATGGGTGAAACCTGTTTTACACCTGCAAGGTCACAAAAGGGGACACTTTTTTCTTTTTTTGTTTTGCTGTTTTGTGGCGTAAGGAGCTATCTTGTCATCTTCACCACGTAAGAAGCTGCTGACGCTGGCCATTACTCCTTCAATGGAAAAATAAAAAGCATTCACAGGAAACTCCCTTTGCTTGATTTCCAACCACCCGACCTCAAGATTCATCTGAACACATCCTGTTATATCAACCCTTCGATGTCATTCAAGGCCCAGAAGTCACATCGGCGTCACTGGAATCTACTAAAGAGACGTCTCATTCATTTTTTAAACGCTTAAATACGCCACACAAACTGTTTCACATTATGTTTGTTTTATTTCATAACATAGATACAAATTAAACTTTAAAATAAAGAGTTTATGAAACTCACAGCATGTTGTCTGTAGAAATAAGACAATCCCTACAAACGTTTATAATAAACTCTAGTATAGAGTTTAGAATATATCAGCTAAAAGTCCCGTTAAAAAATAAAAACAACAAAAAAAAAAACATCCAAAATGACTCACATCTTACAAACCCACAGCAGATATGTACACATGCTTTAACAGACAAACAATCTGTTTTAGGGGTTGGGGGAGGGTCTTAAGTGAGGTGAGGACTTGGTGCAGATCATTTCAGATGGGAAGTGATGTTTGGAATGCATTAAAAATGTAAAAAAAAAAAAAAAAGAAGAAAAAAAGGATAAATATTTCACTTCTTCTAAAAGAAACTGCATTTATGAAGGGAAGACATACACATCGCTTTCAGTTTCCAATTCCTCTGCTTTGGTGTATTGATTTTGTCTGTCCAGGAGCCAAAGAATGAGTCTCTGTTTTCTCCCTCATGCACTGCTGCTGTTGATCCCCACTCATCCCAGAAACAGTTCAATGTTTTCTTCTTCCCTCTGTCTTTAAACCCTCCGCCTCCTCTTCTGTCTTCTCCCTCTTTTCCAAATACCTATCCCCCCCTTTCCTTTTTCTTTCTTTCTTATTTTTTTGCCCCTCTTGTCCTCTTGCCCGGAGTGAAGTGGAGACATGTGTTTCCCTGCACCTGCATGGAGAGAAAGGAAGAAAAGTGAAGTCAGATCTCTGCCTCCCACCCTCTGTCCCTCCCTCCCTGCAGAGGGGAGCAGACAGACTGGCGCCTAGCATGGAACTTTCATTAACCCCAGGCAGATAGCAATGAATCCGCTCCACGTTCACTGGCCTGTTTAATTGGCTGCACATTGAATGTACTTTTAGCACACAGTTTGATCTGGATTTATTTCCTTTCGCATTAAAAACACAACTCGTGCTCCCACACGACTGATTTATTTAAAACAAGTTTCTTTATGGAGATGTGTGATGCGTACCAGTATTGTTCCATCCACATCCTAATGGCACAATCGTTCTTCTTCTTTGGAGAAATTGCGAGTGATATCCGCAGCCTGAATGAGAAGCAGAAAGAAAACAAAGAGTTTTAGCAGCTGGCAGCATGTGACAAACTGATACAAGAATAGCTTAGATGTCAGCGATGAGGTGTAATCACAAAAGATCACTATCAGCCTCTGGACCACAAACAGTTTAAAATAGAACAGAAGCAGAGAAAAGCTCCATCCTGTGCAAACAGAAGATCCACACTGAGACTCCATGTGCGTTTTGTTGGGGATGTTGAATGAGAAGCACGAGCCCACCCTGCAGCACCCTGCAGCCCACCACCTCCTCCATCAAACCCTCACCTTTATGGATAAAACCATCTCCGGCGCAGACGCGTCCTCCGCCTCCAGCGCGATCTGCAGGTCGAAGATGTAGTCGATGACGTGCTGGAGGATCTCCACCTGGCTCACTGACTTGTTCTGCGGGATGCACACCAGCTCCTTCAGCTTGGAGTAGCAGTCGTTCATGTCGCACAGCGCGCTCACAGACTCATCCACGCACGGGTGTTTATTCCGGCCGATGGCCAGGCTCTGCTCCGAGATGCAGCACACGGCCTTGTAGCAGCTCCTCACCGAGCGGACGGGACTGATGGCCTTCATGCTGGGACGATAAAGCGAAGGGGAGACGCCGCGGCTGGTTGTCCTCGCTGTGAGTTTCGGGTACTTTCCTTCGGGTTCACGTTCGGATCGGCTACAGAGATGTGACAGCGGCGTACAGTTACGTTTTTATACGTCGCGGACGCCTACGCACCGCCCACTTTTCGCATGGCGTTGTGATTGGCGAGCGCGAAAAGAGGTGCGCGCTGATTGGTTGAACGTACCTAGTGGCTGGAGTAGCAGGAATGAGGAAATTTGGATGAGATGCCTGAAGGGGTTTGTCACTCTGTGTGTGTTAGCGATCTTCTTCAGGTGCTTCTTTATTTGATATGGATAAAATTACAAAGTAAATAACACGATCCCCTGCTTCTGACTAGTTTCAACAAATGTAGTGCTGCCTGAAGGTTTACTGCATGTTTAGATAGATAGATAGATAGATAGATAGATAGATAGATAGATAGATAGATAGATAGATAGATAGATAGATAGATAGATAGACAGACAGACAGACAGTGTGTACATCACTGTGTGTATTTAAAAGATTTTCGGACTAAATGACCCCAAACTGATGTAATATGGGCAAAGGGTCAGTGAAACCAGCTTGTTTCAACACAAATCAAGTTATGTAATTTGGAAGAAGCAACCAGTTTCAGTTAGTTTACCGTTATCATCTTGCATTATAAGCATCTTCTGCCTTATTGTTGCTTATTAAGAATTCATTTCCATACATTATCAGGACTTTTGAGATGATAAAGTCTGCCAACCCCTGAGTGAAACTGTCATAAATGTTGCTTTGGAGCAGATTTATATGTTGCCCCCTTTCAGTTTACACCGAAGCACGTCCCGTTCTGCTCCTATTTGGGTCTTATTTTCCCCTTTTCTCACAATCCTGTTTTGTGGAGGAATGCAGGCCTGAGCCAGCTGTGTGTCCTATCCCGGCCCAGCTGTGTTGATCTAACGCGCCAGTCCCAGACATGCTGGCGCCAGCCTCCCGACGTCATCCATTCACCCCGACGCACACTCCCCTCTCTGGCAGACGGCCCGCCCTCCCTCAAGAACCCATCGGAGCGGAGAGGCGAAGAGGCGCTCGGAGATCTGATTGGCTAAGAGGGGCTGCCAGTCATGGATGGAGCCGCCGCTCCACAGTCTTCTTTGGATCTGAAGTTGTGTTCAGCTAAATTACGTGGTAAAACTTTAAGGTAATAAGGTTTAAGATGTAATAAGAACAGCGACATCTTTTAATAAGTGTAACACAATGCTTGTTGTCATTAATCTTATTATCACTATTTTTGGTGCCTGGCACAGCAATGACGCACAATCACACGTTCTTCAAGATTTCTGTTTAGTAATCACAATAATGATAATCACTAAAGTAACGTGTTAGGAGATGAGGGGATGAGGAAGGGGGATTATTAGGAAGATCATTAACGTCGTATCTTCAGACTCGGATGTGTGCGTAGAAACCCACGGTTGGAGATATCCCTCCAGTTACGCAGAGGTTGAACAGATGTTAAAGCTAAAACTGCCTTCCTCCTGATCCCCCCACCTTCCCTCCACCTCTCCCGCTCCTCCTCCTCACAACCACTGACCCTATGTGACAAGTCACTCAACGACCTCACTTCAGAGCAAACCCTAATATTGAACCGTGAGACAAGACTTCGATCCGCGCGCTGTTTTAAAGAGGCATCATGCGAGCGGCGCCGGTTGCGCAAACAAAACTTTGACCTTAAATAGCTTTCTTAAATATGTCAAGAGAGAAGGGGTGTGTGAAGGGGGGGAAATATCGCTTCACAGATCTGATGGGAAAATAACCGCTGGAGCTGACTTCAGGGAATGAAGCTACCAAGGAAACGATCTGGTCTGAGGTCAATTCATCAAATTGCGGTTATTTTATTTAGAAAGACCAAACTTTTTTTGTCCCCCTCCCCTCCCCCCTCTTTTTTTTATTTTTATTTTGCATATACTCCTGCCTGTCCATTGCATGAGTCTGGGTACATCTGTGGGAAGCACACACACACACACACGCAGCAGTGTGTCTGGGCAAAGATCAGGTGCTCGCTGGAAAGGCAGCGGACACAATCGGGTCTCTCTTTCAATGGATGGGAGAATTCCGAGGCCGGCGTCAGTGAGTCTGCCTCTCCCTCTCCCTCCCCTCGCCTCTCCCTGCTCCTCTGTGCAGCTGGACGCAGACAATCAAGCCATCAACAATCGTCACGCATAATTAGCAGCACCCCCCTTCCCCTCCCTTTTATCTCACTCTTTATCTGCCTCTCAATTAAATTTTAGACCATTGTATTTTATTTATAACCACTTAGTTCAAAGAGAAAAAGAAAATGGTAATATTCCTTGAACAAGAGAGGAACTCGTGAAGGTAGGTGTTTCCACAGCTGCTGAGCTGCTCATATTCTCACCGTTCATCTTTATGAGTGTTTCAAGATAAACAGAGTGTCTCCTTTTACTCAACAGGAAAGAGTGTAGAGTAACAGGGTCGTCTTGTGAGATGAGATTGAAAGGAGTGTCTAATGGAGAGGCCGTGTTGTACTACCAGTGTTGGATACTTAGGAGGCAAGAAACATACCAAAACTTAAATTCTTCGAGTGTGTGGTGTGTTTTGTGTGTGTCATGCAGGATTCCTTGTCATTCTCTGCTCAGGCTTTTCTGTCTGTGCTTCATCAAAGACTCTTCAGTCTTCTTCGCCGGCTTTGAACGGCCTACACATCCCCAGCTTTTGTCCCTTGTGACCCAGGCGGTGACACGACATTTTCTGCACATTGTTGTCTTGTATCGGCCGCTTGTTAAGAGCCTTAGCGTCTCTTGTTCAAGCTTATGCATGATGATGATTTTGCAGGAATTTTAGATGAGAGAGAAAGAAAGAAAGACAGAGAGGGAGAGAAAGAGAGCACCTAATCTCTGAGGAAATTAACTGACGTGTATCACGTTATTTCATTCAGTCCAAGAGCAACCCACTCTGTGACCGATGTGGCTGAGAGGAGCTGTGGGGGGGAAATTTATACACAAGGATCCCCTTTTCCATCTAATCATGCAGATGAAATAACTTTTCTGGAAATGATGGCACTAAGCATCTGATTATATGCAATGTCTTACAAAAGGATTTACATCCATGTTAAAACCACAGTGTTTTTTTTTTTTACTGGGATTTCATGTGGAAGACTAAAGTACAGTAGTGCATGTGAAAAGATTTTCTAAATGTATTTGAGAAAGTGTGGCACATATTTCTGTCCAGTCCCCTTAATCTCAGTGAATTCAGCTGTTCTCTGAAGGCCTCAGAGGATCTTTAGAGAATATCATGAACAAACAGCATCAAGAAGACAAAGGAACACGATTGAGTATCTGTAGCCTTGAAAAGTCTTGAAGATTGATTTAAACAGATTCCCGCTTGAGATGTTTTGCAAAGTAAAATAATCAAAAAAAGTTTTAGAGCCAAATACTGCAGCAATTAAAGACTCTTCTACAAGTATTGACTGGGATGCCTGAATGCAAGTATAATAATGGACTGCTTTGTTTGGGTCCATCAAATGAAGACCCACTGAATACATTGAAATTGCTCCAGTTGTAACATGATAAAATGTTTAAAGAGTGAAAAGCAATTGATACTTATCCAAGGAACTGCATGTCTTTAGATAAATAAGGCAGTTAGAGCACAGAAACATGAAGCTTTGAATTTCAACACCTGACAGATTAAGTCTAATCTCAAAAAGTTTCTGATTTTGAGGGCACTGTGGGAACTGAGCTGTTGAGATCCTCATGTTGTCTGGTGGCCCATCTACGTCCTTGAAGTGAAGATTTTACCCTCCTCTCTCTCTCTCTCTCTCTCTCTCTTTGTGAGCAGGTGGGAAACGACCCACAGAAAGCCATAAAGCCCACAGGCGCCACATAGGGGCAAAACAAGCTGAATCTACTGTTCAGGAGACAGAGGACACCAGGTGCTGGTCACACCATTGTTTTGTCGTTTTCGTCAACTTACTGGAACAGTTGGTCTGTGCTGTGGCCGTAAGAAAAGGACAAACATCTGGGGTTGTGCAAGGAAGGCCAGACATGGTTATTGCGGTAGCTGGCACTTCGCTAAGTGTAGGAGAGCGTGATCAGATCAGTCACAACGCCTTCCATCATTCCACTGGTGCAACTTGGAGCAAACTCTGAATTTCATTTAGTCATTTTGGACAAGAAATTTTTATCCCTTCATAGAAAGATAGCTGGGTTCTTCAGCTCCAGCATGCCACACTTCCAAAAACTGAATTACCACACCAACAATTAGACAATCATCAGAAAGTGGGTTGCCTGAAACCGTCCTAGAAGCAGCTTCCCTGTTCTCAGAACTGGGCCTCCAGACAGCACAAAGTGGCCAACTGTTTTCTCCACAGCTCGTTCTTTGGTCTCATTTGTTGTGGAGCTGCATTCTCAACTTCAACCAAAATCACGATGGATGAAACATTTTGCAGATTACAACCAGATGATGGCCATGTAATTATTTTTTTTTGCAACAGTCGCTCTTGTGTCACGGCAGCTTCTCGTGCAGATTTGCAAAGCTTTTGCATTGCGGTGAAAAGACTTTAAACTCCTCTAAGCTAGATTTTTGACCTTGCTTTTAAGGATAAGCTCGCACACTGGAATCCCACACACTGTGGCTTGTTAATAATGAGTCTTATGAGTCTTTGAATTTGCCATCCAGATCTGATCCTGGACGCACCAATGGCTTTTAAAAGACAGCTGGATCTGCTTGCTTCAAGACATCCAAGCTGGAGAAGATACATGCATGGGAAACTAAAATGGAAACAAACTAATCCCACTATTTTTCATCTTGTCCAAAGACATATCCTGTTGCAGACAAAGACGTTTGGTGAAAAAGTTAGAGAGGACAGAGCTGCCATTTTAGAAGACAAAGCCAAATATACATCTGTGTTTTCTCACACACAAGTTCATGCATGTGCCTCAGTTAGTAGATGTAAAGTTCAGTAGGAGGAAATGATCTCCAAGAGACCAGAGCAAAGAAAACCGAGGTGGAAAATGTCTGATGGGCGTCTGGCGTCAGAGGGGAGAAAGTAACTCACGGACGGTGACAGAATAAGAGACGGGTTGAAGGGAAGAAAGCTGCGGAGGGGG